CACTTGGGACTGGCAGCACTATTAATCAAATTTGTACTAATCTGAGAATCACCGAAATAGTTGATTCCCTGTTTAGTTTCATTTTTGTGTGCAAATTTTTGTTGTAATCAACTACTAAGCAACTAATCAGTTGCCTGAATATCCCTAGTATATTCTCTGCTTAGTTTTTTTTTGTATGCAAATTTTTGTTGTAATAATCTACTAAGCAACTAATCTGTTGACTGAATACCCCTAATAAGTTGCTATCTTATTTCTGAGCTTTTCTATAAGGAGTGCCGGACGTTTTCACCACAATGCATCAGCAAAGATAGCTTCTCAGTCTGAAGAAGTTGTGAACCTTCCTCTGGATGCGTGTCATCAGCATTTGGCATGTATGTGAATAATATTAGAGCTGCAGAATTTTGCTTCCGCTCTACCCTGATGGTGGTGATATCTAATGATCTTAAATGAGAAAAGAGAAAATTATTGAAGTGTGTTTTTATTAAAATGCACGATCTAGCATTACATATGTCTGTTAACATAGAAAAGATTATACCCGTTGATGTTGAGCTCTTTGACATATGAACTATGAGCCCAGGGCTCTTGGATGATGTCAAACTCGATGTCCTCCTTTCTAAATAAGAAAATCAGATTATCCGTCGAATATTTAAAGTATTTTAGATTTATTTGCTCCATCTTGACCGTAAGCGCATCAATAGAGTGTGTTATCAATGATGAGGTCATCTACCAACCAGTGCCAGTACCCTCTATCTTATTCAAAACGTTATCCGTTGGTGCATTTTTCGTTATGTTTTTGCGATTGCTCCATATAGACAACCGACCAGTCTTCCATCTAGATTTTTCAGCTTCAGTTGCTGCAGAATAAGGTCCGGGGGTCAAGATTTGTAGGCAACCAAAAACGCGCTCGAGGTCTCAATGAAATTTCTGCAGCAGGGACAGCTTAAGCTTTCAACCACCACAGTTCTCACAAATCTTAATGATCGCCATGTAAGGAAATTCATCGAATACTCATGGTCGCATCTAATCACCCGGTAACCTTGGACCACATATGTGCAGTCGGAGAATGGAACAACCCAGAATTGGTCATGAGCTCGGACATAACCAATTCGGACAATTTGGTTTCAACCAGCACTCATTTCTCCATCAGCATTTTGCCATTGGAGTTGCGTTCGTCGATCAATGCCACACTGAAATGATCTCTCTCCACTTTACCGAAGGGACTTGAGCATAAAAAGCGCACGCTGATAATGATTTTTTTGTGCCCTGCTGGTCGTTTTTTGCACGAGTTCAACTTACCCTTTCTGCTAAGAGTGCTAAGGATGGAACTTAATTCTTCCTGATCTTAGCTAAGCACAAACATGACAACGTTCAGGACGACAATGTTGTGTGTTCCATCCCAGGCGGCACCCTCGTGAAGGATTCAGTAGAAGAATTTTTGCCACTTGCAAACCCACATAGGTCAAATTGATACAGATGCCTGCTTATCGTAGAGTCTTCTTATCTTTTGTTAAAAAGTTCGGTATAGGAAGAACTCAGTACCAGTTTGCATAATGTCGTGTTCCGATTGGTTTCCTAAAGCACTCCGTTTGGCTAGTTTCTGTGCTTTGCAATTGCTGAAAACATCCCTATGACCGGGAACCCAGATTAGAGAAATATTGAACTGAGTCAACATCTCATTTAGTGATGTGTAGCAGCCAAAGACTGTCCTAGATGTAAATTAGACTGAGCTAAAGGATTTAAACCGGCTTAACTGTCTAATAGTATGTACCAGTGACGACTGCTCTAAAGTGCGGAGGTGTGCGGCGCACACCCTAAAATAATTTGCAAATTGTTAAATAATATATATAAATTTATTAATTATCTTTACACCAGGAATTAATATTGTTTATTACATTTTTATACATATACTAGATCTAACGCAATAGATGGAGTGGTGCACAGAACACCATTAATGCAGAATTCAAACGATGACGCTATATAAAAGTATTGGTCTAGTGACAGCCGTATATAATTATTGAGTAACACGAGGATGTTATCCTCACCTTTTACCAAAAGCTTTCTGACATTCTTAGCGCGCTCTAAAATACTTTTCTTCCAACTAAGTTTTCTATCGAAAACAATACCTAAAAATTTTGTTAAATTTTAAATTGTACCGCAGAACCTGGAATATAAAGTGGAGAAAGATTGAGAGAAAATCGAGATGTGTACAAACAGGAATTTTGCTGCAAATTATATTAAAAAGTCAACTATCTGACTCAATGCTTTAGCACTGGGGTATTTACATCAACTTGTAAAAAAATAATTTGGTTACAGATATACAGAGTGTAATGAAAGTATGAAGAAATATTTCTTCAATTATTATCCATTATCACTTTTATCCATTTCACTTTTAAAAAAATGTTCTCGGAAATGACGGTATTGAAATGGCATCATCTAGCAATAACAAAATGTATATGTGGCAGGTCCAGATGAGCTACCTGTAGAATTCTAGAAGACTGAGAAGAGGAGAAGAACATAGGCACGCGCTATTTCTTCACTGAAGATGATCTATTGAAATACGTGGATAACTAGGGCAGCGCTCTTAATGTCAAGGTAGTGGAAAGGGCTGAATCTCCAGAAAACCGGGTAGAACGATGAGTGATGATGATTGATATGGATATAACAAGCAAAAAGCACCACTACAGAGCTGCATCTAGCAGTTTAATGCAACATTTTAACAATGATATCGATGCTATAGTCCTGCCACAAGAGCCTGGGTATGCCGTTACCTTGTATGCGGACTCAGGATTAAATATTATGAAATAACGTTTGTAGTAATAAGGGTAAGCCAAGATCTTAAACACTAATTCATAAAAAATATGTTTTTATTCTTCCCCAATACAGCAATTAAGATCAAACTGAAGTAATCTTTGTATATTTGTGCAGCTGACAAATGGCGCTCAAAAACGTAAAATATAGCTTCTAATACTAATCAAGAGAGTGAGTTACTTTTTGACTTTATCTTAAGAAACAACTTTTTTATATGTAGCGATGGCAGTAAGCCAACTTTTATTTCTAGAAATAGGCAATGAAATTTTGGATATAACAATTACTGCACTAGGCACTTTTTCTCAGATCAGTTGCTTTCAGAATTTACTCTTGCCATAAATACATCAGATGCCTACAATTTGAAAACTTTCAGGTCTCAATAAAACAAATTGAATAAGACAAAGTTTTCTTGGAATTCTGATAATTTTATAAACTATTTCAATGGTCTCAGTTTGGACTTCTGATTGCGAAAGCGTTTATGAAATTCATCAAATTTGAAATACTATTTTAGTGCTTCGATCAAAAGAAATTAGATGGACATAATTACTTTCAATTGTATGACGTCCTGGTCATAACAGAAACAGTTAAATTTTTCGCTCTTAGGAAATAAATGAAAAAATAATGCTTTGCTGGCAGAGCAAATGTTGTTAATAGCACTGCGTTTTTACGCAATTGAATGTATGCTGCGTGTCAATGGTGATTTATTTGGGATTTCAGTTACATAGAATGTTGGGTGGTTGTTGTAGACAGTGATTAGAGAAATAGCAACTATGTTATTATAAAACCTGTTAAATGAGTCCACTATTCAAATACACAATTGTGTTACGTATTCATATGGCGTATGAAAGCACCGTTTTCCAGTGTTGTCTCTCTGGTTGAGAACGAAAATGAGAAGAAAAAGTGTAATTATTGCTACAGCAGTCTTGCATAACGTTAGTTGTTTAAATAATGATACTGTTGCGCCATCTTTATCTGACGACAAGGCAATAGCTATATCGAACAACCTTGATGTACCCAACAATAGAATGGTCGATAATGGAAAATCAACTAATTACACATGAACACATATAGATCTGTATTTCAGTAATTTAATATAACAAATTAAATAAAATATATGTCAATATTTTTAACAATATAAAGAATTGTTCAAAATTTTAAGAAGCTTATTTCAAGCTCTAATTTGTGCACTTTTAATTTCCGGATTTTTTCTTATTAGTTCGCTTCGGTTTGCCTTATACGCATTTTCAATACATACCTATATGCTTTTCTTCCATTTGCTCCATTGATTCACATGTTCTGCCTTCATAAAAACTTGCATTTTTCTTCAGTTTACTTTTATCTGTACCATTTCTGGAAGAGAAAACCAAGAAGTAACTTTTGAAGTCCTCTTCTATCCTTTTAAAATGGGGTAAGTTGGTTTTTTTAGTTGAGTTGGAATAAAGCTTTCCTAATTGTAATTCACTAAAAATAAATAATATTGAAGTAATATAAATATAAAAGAAAAATTACGTACAACTTTTACCTTTCTGAACATGCACCCATTTTCGTATTTTTTTTTTAGTGACAGCATATTTCTCAGAACAGTTGCGTGGGAATTAAATTCGTTGCTCATTTTTAACCAAATAGTATGATCACTTCGCCTTCAAATTTGACAAGGACGCAAACTTTTTTTGCTTTAAAAATTGTTTTTATTCTCGTTCGTCTCACTGGATTGTCAATAACTTAACAAATGCCAAAAATAACCGCTTCAGTTTATTTGTTAACAACTCTACATACTTTATTATGCATCCACGCTGTTACCTCATGTATAATTTTTTTTTGTAAAATAATTGTTAATTTATTGTGTTTAAAATTCATTATTGTTTTTTTGGGTAAACTAAATTAGGAAACAGATACAAATTCAGTAAAAATTAAATAAGTTATAAACGCAGACTTTTTCTATTATGTGTACATAAATAGATTTAATAGTCAGTTTCTTATTTACTAATAATTTTGTATATCACGAACATCATTTTAAAAAGATTTTGTATCAAAATTTTATAATTTGTATATTGTATGTGTAGTTTTTCATAAAATGTTTTATATATAACTTAATTTTGTGTCACATCTATATGTCTGATATCATATATAATGTTATTGCTCCAAAGCACCCTATGCAATTCAAACTAAATTTTCAACTTGTATGGCAACATGCTACAAATTATCGTTTTGTTCATGGAAGTGTTTGTGGTAGATATTGTGCAGTGCGGTATTTAATTAAAAGTCTTGATTTCGTACTCCTAAAAATGCAGCTTGTTATTAACATTACTGCAGAACATAAAGAAATTGTAAATAATGCAGAAAATCTAGGATATGTGATTATTTTATCGAAACTTAAATAAATGTACTTTTCTGTGTAGTAGTTGTGTATACCACCTAAAGATTATAATTCGACGAATATATTGGAAGTAAGAATATTTTAAATTAAATATAATATCACGAATTGTAGAAATAATTAAAGAAAAATAATGTTTTTAACAAAAATCATGTATTAAACAAATTATCAATATACAGCATTCCAAAATATTGTTTTCCAATAATATTTCCAGTGGCTTGTGTATGTATCACACAAAATTTTCATTCGCCTGTGTAGTTCGTTTCGCCGTGGTAAATAGTGGCGTATAAAAAAAATGGAATATAAAACTGTAATGCACCAGTGTTTCAGAAATTAAATTTAAATAAATGAAACTTTCTTTCTTAAAATCAAACTAATATGTATTAATCGCAGCTATTTAACAGCATATAAATGCTGTTTTTCACTATATGAAAAAATAAATTGTTGGCTTCCAGTCATCATTTCAAAGTGTTTGTTCAACGCATATAATAAATCCTAAGCTCAATTTTATGAGTACTCAATAGTGCTATACAATTGTAAATAATTCTTATTTCAATATGTACCGTTTTTGTACACATAAACTAACTAAATGTCTCTTATTATTTATTAATAAAACAATGAAAGTGAAATAAACTAACAAACTTTACATTTTTGTATACAAAACAGTACAATATGATTTATGAACCCATTGTCCCGTACGGTATGTGTACTATAAAAATATCATTGCGACTTCAAAACTAAGATTTGTTCTTTAATGGTCTTTGTTTAAAAAATGCACTACAAATAATCGGCTTATATAAAGTTAAAGTAGAATATCTGTTTATATAGAATGCTTAACAGATCGAATATTTTAAGTTCACTTTTGTCATATTAAAAATACATATAAAATTTGCATTTGAAAAATTTAAGTGATAAAAACTATTACCAAGTGTAAGTTTTGGTCTTTTACAATGTGGTTTTGTATAGTTCTATCTTAAATAAAAGTTAAATGCAGTAAAAACCATAAGCTAAAAATATTTTGTAAGAAAAGCCTAAACATTTAGCAGTTCAATTTCGTAGGTCAAGATTATTAATACTTATTCATTCGAGAATAATTAAAACATTGGTTCCATATAATTGGGGAAAAGACACAAAAGCTGAATATTATAAACGTAGAAAAAGTGTTATTGTTATTAAATATACTTTTGCTAAGACTTGAAAATTTTTTGTTATAAACTTTAACATTTGCTTAGCTATGGATTTTTTAAAAAAACTGTTTTTTTTGTATATATTTAAACATTAGTGAATAAGAGTGGGAAGAATTATATAGTCCCAACATGTCTAGTCTTTGATTATTTATATATATTTACGTTTAATAATTTAAGAAATTGTCCAATAAGTCCATTACAATTGTGAAAGATTTTGTTGACGTGTTGTATATCGATACTTATGATCGAATAAACTTTGATGGTAATGTTGTATATGTAGTTCCTTATCATCGTAGAAAACTAGACATACGGGGATACTAACCATATATAAATCTGAAATAATATATTTTGTGTATATATTTTAACATAATGTAATAATTATTTGCAGGTTCCAAGAATTTTGGGTATTTCGATGTGTTATTAAATATATTTAAAAGTTGTCTTATATATAAAAAATGGATGATCAGCACAAGTTCGTAAAACCAACAGATATTCCAAACAAAATATCATCAGACTTTTACATAGAACATAAGCCTGTTTTAAAATCCAATACCCACTCGCATCGAAGTCCGGCATCAGAATTTTGTATGACACGTTGTAGTACTATTTATAATAGCAGTTCAGGTGATACGAAAGAATGCAGTTTAGAGTTAAATCGTAGTATTAAAATATCATCAGAATATGCATTGCCTTTATTGACATCATCGCCATCAATGATATTAAATTGTAGTAAATTGAAGAAAGAGGAATGCAGACGCAAATACCAACTTTCAACAATTAAGAAAAAGAATAATAACAGTATCGAGCAAGTGAAGCATCGAAAATGTCATTATGATTCAAATAACTCTTTATATATGACACCATTTAAGTTAAGTCAACGAAAATATGTCAAAAATATAGTCAACAGTAGGAAGATATTTCATACAGTGGTATCTATATTCTCCCAATTGGCATTATTAAAAATAAAAACAACAGATAGAAATATGCACAAAAACAATTCTTCATCTAACAAATTAGCAGCACGGAGGAGATTTCATTTACTTCCGAATTTGGGAACAACGTCTTTTTTCACTCTGTTAACATTAGTATGCTTGGAAACAGTTTTATTGTCGACTGTATCAACGTGTGCAAAAACATTTTATATGCACTGGAATACATCAAATAGCATGTAAGTATAAACATTTTATTTTAAATTTTAAATATTTTTCGAACAGCTCAATGCATGTGCAAATAAGTCCAATAAAAACAAATTTCAATAAAAAATAAAAAATAAAATAAGTATAAATTCTATTTAAAATGGTATAATATTTCACTAAATCTAATTACAATTTTTGAACAATTAATAATATAGTTGCGACTTTTACGCAAAAGTCTTTAACATGCTCTCCTTAAAGTCGTCTATTTTTTATGATTTTTTTATGATTTCATATGCAAAATACATAATACACATACATTGTAATGTGTAAGTTTGTATGTCTATATGCTACGTAGCATAACGCACTTTTATATAGAATAGTATCAAGTTAGCTACAGTTAAATGAAATAGTCTTATGTAGGGTGAAATGGTCTATGGTATATATGCATGCATGCGTGTGCTACAACCATTTTTCTTGGACTGTGAAAAGTTAAATATAAATGCGTAATTGAGGGTGGTTTTTATTATTTTAGAATATTGTTGCGAACATTACAGTTATCGTCATCACGTCATATCATATGTTATTCGTGGTTTACCGGCTGGTGTTGAGTTTGTTGATCTGATTTCTGTTCTTTCGGGGCAAATTGTTGGTCATGTAGTAACAAATACATTTCATACGTTTTCTATAATGCTGTCAACACAATTTTTCCACATCATTCATGTGGTTTGATTATAGGTGCAAATTATTTCACGATAATTTTAGCAGTAATAAGTCTGCAAAGGGTTGAATAATATAATATAAGAACGTTGACATATTCATACCTTCTTGCAGAATTTATTAAACATATTTAAACTAAAACAATACAAAATAAATTGAGCTACAAAACATAAGAAGTTTTTTTTTTAAAGAAATACAAATATTTTAAAAAAAAAATACAAAACTCTTTTTTCTTTTGTAGTAATCATTCTTTGTAGTTTTAATATAAATTTTTAGCGACCATATATGACAAGTCAGTGATAAAAAGAGTTAAATTTATGTTTACCTTTAAATTAATTTTTCGACGCAATCTTCAATCAATTTTGATTTCAATATACCTGAAACAATGGTTTTCTTATTCTTTTTATACAATCTGAAAATTAGGGTTCTATGATGAGATATTTAAAAACATATTGATGCAGAGCGTTATATTGGCAATAAATAAAAATCAGATAGACACAACTCTTGTAATTACGGTCGATGTATTGGCACCTCTAAGGTACAATAATTCGACCTATTTTGCTGTTGCAATTATTGACGAATAAGGTCGTGCTTCACTTTACAAATATATTATTCAGTCTAGAGATGTGGTTATGGGTTTCTGGTACGTTAGAAACTTTAACCTGAAAAATTTACTGTCGAAAAAGAAAATCCTTTTAATTACTTATATAGACGAACATAATTATTGGCATAACAAGCATATTGAACTTAAGCACCGCGTTAATACATCGACTTTTAATTAACAAACATTTTTTTTAGATAAAATGTTTAATTTGCAATTAAATTTATTTTATTTCATGATATCATCTCTTACATTAATTTCTTACAATTAAAAAATCAAAAAAAGTACTAAATAATGTAGAACAAAATTATTGGTATAAAATGTACCAAGTTTTAAAAAATAAAAAACAAATTTTAAAAAATATTTAACGTAACAATTAATATTTAGTGGCGAAGCCCTTTTGTTTAATAACAGCTTCTAGCCGCCTTGGTATCGAAGAAACCAATTTTTTGTGTGTTTTCTGGCCCAATATTTTATCTCTATTCAGGCATTGTCACCTTCAGTTCTGCTTTCGCTATAGCGTGGTTTTATAGACCGGTATTCAATTGTTCCCATAAAGTTTCTATGGGGTTGAGATCTGGCGATTGGGTTGTAGGTGACAATGTGTGTTTTATATGATGCGCGAGCCACATATGTACATCATAAGCCGTATGTTTTGGGTTATTGCTATGTCGGAAGATAAATGTGGCAGGTAAACTCAAGTTTTTGGCACATTTTTTTGGCTTTTCTCTTGAGAACGTCTGTATAATATTTTTTCTTCCATAATGTCGTCAATGAATTCCAGTTCGTCGACATCTGCAACGGTCACGTGACCCGGTATAACCACCATGTTTCACAGACATAGTAGAAAAAAATTTTTTTTTTTGCAGTTCTGTAATTAGTTTTCTCAAAACCGTTTAGCCGCCATTGGATCGAAAGAAATAGAAGTTTCTTTCATCCGAAATGATTACATTTTTCCAAAAGTCAATTGGCTTGCTTAAGTATGGGCTAAATACTTCTATTGGTTGTCATTTAAAATTAACAGTTTTTGCCTATCAACACGTCAACTGTAATTAGTTTTATGTAGTGTCCTCCTGACCGTTATGAGATTAATATCCTTTCCAAACTCTCGTTTATCCTCTGCTGCGATAAGAATATTTTTAGGTTGATCTTCACCTTTCTTATTATGTTGCTGGTTTTCTATCAATTATTTCCCCAATATTGGCATAAGATTTGTCATGATTGTGCAAATATAGAGAGATTCGGCGGTTTCTTTATGCTTACTGTTCATTTTGTTCAAAATGGATTAAGTTTGTATTATTGAAGCACTATGATATTCACTTTTGCAGTATTAAGTTTTAAGTGATGATTGAATTTTTCGTTGTTTTCTTTTAATAGTCCAAATTATATTCGTATTTCTTATTAAATGGCACTCTAAACTACTTAAATGTTATTGGGTATCCTTATGTACGTGAAGACCCCAACTTTTCTGCTTAAAATGAAACCTCAAATTGTAACATAAAGTTTTTAAAATTAAACAGGAAAAGTGATATAGCATTTACAAATAATATAAACACCATAAACCGGAATCGGGAAGATCCGTGACACAATTTACGACTGATGGAAGATATTAACATCGTTTTAATACTTAGCAAGCTGTAAAAATCACATAGTAGCGGATAATTTTTTGAGCAATCTATTTCTTCCAAAATTTCGGTCGCTCTGTTATATAAGAAGCAACAATAGTATATTCTTCTCCAAGTCCCATAGTATAAATCCTAATTGTAATTTGTTTTTTTTTTATATTTTCGTCATGAGGCTTAACATCATTTTTTTTTTCATTTTAACTAAACTATACTTGCATTGTAGTAAAATATTTCTGATAGCTTTGACATACTTATTTGCCGAGTGGTCGCTATAATACATTGACTGTTCCACTCCAAACGATAATGTTTGAACTTGAATTTTAAAAGATTTTAGCTTGTAAAGTGAGAAAAAAAAAACATTAACATCTCAGACAAAAACCAATGCAAAGCGGTAAATGTACCGCACATCGTTTAATTGATCCAAAATAACATGTATATATAAGTTCTGAAAACTTTTACTTGACAATCACAAAATGATATAGGTTTTGTTTTTATTATATATCTCGATTTTTTCTACAGAAAATTTTTAAATGTTTTTATTTAAACAAAAAGCAGTATTTTTGCGATTATGAATTTTATTTCAATGTGTAAACTTATTCATTTAGAGTATAAATATTTTACCATATACAAACTATTAGAGGTGTTGGTGAGTTATCAACTTATATGTATAAAACCTCGCATTACCTTGATTAAACCATTTACATTTTCTTTAAATTAATTCTAGTTTTTTTTTTCTTAACTGAATAATTTAATTTGTTTCCGTAATGCCAAATTCATCACCAATTTTCTAGAAATCCCATATTATTAATAAAAATTTTTTCGGAACTCTTTGAGCCGGCTTATCTTTTTGGAGCCACGATTTCTTGCGTTCAATATTGTTGTATTGTCCGTAGTGACGATTCGACTTTTTGTGCTAACTACGACAGAACGAACAAAATGTCGTGTAGTTGGCTACAAAAACAAAATCACATTAATATTTTAATTTCAATACTTTGATCTTTATGATTTAAATATTATAAAACCCGGGAGATCCATTTTCTTAAACAGTTGCATATTTTTATCGCCTTTCCTCATTATGGCAGAACTTCTATAATTTGAACTTCAATTAAAATTCCAGGAACCCATTATACTGATGAGTGATTACCAGAGTATCGTTTACATTTAATGTCGAAGACCACTTCAAGACGGTCACAAACGATAGTGCTGCAATGTTTTTTGTTTTCATCAACTTCAACTAGGTTTTAAGATTGCATTTTTATCAAAATCCATTAATGAAATTTTTGAAAGAAGTTGGAACTGCCATTCTGCCAGTACTTCTTCCATTCAAAGAAGTTTTTGCTTTTTGATAGTAATAAAGTAAATTATGCAGAAAATACTGTTTTCTATTTTCGATATTTGATGAAATACCGAAGAAGAACTATTTGGCAAGTTTTTACAAACCTTTTAACTTACAAATTAAAAATTAATATCAATTTGTTATATCAGCTGTCAAATACAATACAATTTAAGTGTAGAATTGGATGTAAAAATATGAAATTACTTTTTGAACAAGCCAGTAGTAAAATTTTTTCCAGTCACCACATTAATTGGATTAAAATATATATCGCTGTGTAGAATGCAAGCCAATTGGGTCTATTGCTTCTTCATTACAACTAAAATTGATAAAAAAATTAAACGAATGTTTTTACTTTAAAATTTTTTATTTATTTTTTAAATCTATTTCATCGTCTTCAAAGTACCCGCCTTCAGATGCAATATTCTTGTGCCAACTGATTTTCTAATTGTAGAACCCAAGTCGATATTCAAGACAGCTTTGGAATTTTTTGTATTCAATCATGTCGAAATGGTGTACCAGGTGCGGCCTTTTGAGCTTAGGGGATAGGCAGATGTTACACACTGTTAAATAATCCGAAGACGATAGTTGAACGATATGAGTTCGATGACTGAAATAACAGAATGATCTTTATGCATTTCATCGTATCTTGAGAGCCAGAAATCAGTATTTGACAAATTTTAACGCGATAGTCTGAGTTTATTCAAATGCAGTTAACCGTATCAGTCTCGACGATTTTTGAGCATCAAATCTTTTGTTT